TGTCTTGAATGCATTCTAAAGATTTTTTCTTTCCATCATTATTGACAGTCAGTTTGACAAACGTCACATCATTAGTTATTTGTGAGCTGATGGATGAGTATCCTCTTTACACGATTTGACATACAGATAGATTATGCTGATCTAACATAAAAATTGATTAATAGCTTTGGGTTGAACTACATAGCCAGTACCTTTAATAGACTTCTGCAGGCCTGCTCAGGAGTGAGTCTCAGTCTGTCACTTTCATAAATTAAATAATTTCATAGATTAAGGAAATTTTTTTTGAGTGATCTTACCTCATTTGCACTATGTTCTTTTTTTTTTCTTTATCAAGAGCTACTGACACAACAGCAATAAAAGTTAAGGCTGCTTAATTTATTAATCTGTGAAGTGTCCAGATAAAAAAAAAAAACCTCGTTATAATATGAACAGTTGGAGCAGTCACTGCCTGCTTTGAAGACTTTGTACTTTTAATTTCTTCCTTCAGTAGTTATTTCAGTCATTCAGCACTTTAGAAATGCACTGCAATATGACTACAGATTTTGTGAGGCAATCAAGCCATTTGTCCTAAGATTCCTAATTACCTAGAGTTTGAGTTATTAAATACACAGATCCAAATTTAAAGAACATCCAAAGCAAACACGGATATCCAGAGTCAAATCCTCAAGGACAGACTACCTTTTACACATGCATTTCAAATCTGATAAAATAAATAGAAGTTCATAGTGCAGTGGTTTAGAGCGTTCAGGCTGTTTCTCAAGGCCAGGTATTTTGAGGTAAGTATTTAAGGAATTAACCATTTTTCATTATTCTATCTATTCAAGTAAAGATACTTTAGAAGACTGAAAAACTAAATAAAATACTTTCTGGGCTGCAGAGGAGATGAAGTTGGACTGTGACTTTAGTCTCCCTTGGCTTTGTGTGAAGAGCTGTATTGATTTGCTGCTTAAGATGCTGCACATACACATGGTACCAGATTCCAGCTGAGGTCTGGAATTCAAATACATTTGATTCAATGTGTTCCCAATGATGAGAACAGTGACTTTACAGGCTCTGTCACAGCATTCTCTAAAGCTAATTCTGATCTGACTATTTCTGCCTTGTATTCTCTGATCTGTTTTTGAAACAGAGTATTTCACTTAAAGGCATGCCTCTCAAGCTTTAACAACCTCTTTGAAACTTAATACTGTGACTTATGTTTATTTATGATGCAAAATGGTTAGTAATGTCTTGAGTCCCAGAACAAGTGCCACTGTTTCTGACTCGGTGACTTTTGGTTATATGTTAATCTAGTATTTAAAAAAAACCAAAACCACCACAAAACCACAATGTCTTCCATCCTGTATTGCTGCACCTGACTCCTCACACATTCTTTCTTACTTTGCCAATAACTGTATGTTCCTTTAAAAAAATAAATAAAAAAAATAAAATCTATTTTATTCACATCTGATGACCCACAGAATCTATTGATGGGTTTCAAATAAACGTGTGTTGTCCACACTACTGCAGCTTGATATTTTGAAGGCATAATGTTAAGTTCTGTTACAAAAAAAATCCATCAAGCAAAGCAAAAAAACCCACAACCCAACACCAAATATTGAAGCATAACTTAAATATTGTCTTTTTTTTTTTATTAAGGTAGATAATGATTGTGGAAGATTTTAGCAAACACATCTGAATGACTTGTCAGAGAGGGAATGTGGCTTGGAGCATGTAATTGCTTCCAATTTTTCTCAGATTTAAGAAAAGACTTTTTACATGTTTGCAAGGTAACACCCACTCAATGGCTTGTGTGGAAATGCTTTAGTTTGCAAAGCAACATAATGAGCAGCTAGTGAGGATGGTTTTCCCAGCTGCCAAAGGGTTTCACAGAGTCGTAATGACTGCCATACTACTGTCAAACTGTCACGGACTAAATGAAGGTTTTAAATTATATTTGGTGGGTTTGTGGGTAGCTGTTTTTTGAATGTTCTAGAAATGCTCGCTTTTTCTTAGAATACCAAGGCACAAAAGGTGAAATGCAACTAGATCTCTTTGACTGTGCACAAGAATTATGTGTGTGAGACCTAAAGGGAGAACTGTCATTTTCCCAAGAGGATTATATCCGCAACCTTGAGACTGAATTTCTACCTAAGATGACTGAGATACCCCAGACACCTATAAGCTCTTCTGTAGAAGAAGAGAACTCTCAGCCTCCCCTAGACTTACTGTGTGGTGGATGATATAGAAATAGTCATCTAATGAAATGTTTTTATAGTTGATCACTCATAGACATTTTCAAGAACTTATGAAGTTTATGCACTTACTGTGATCTTTTTTTGCTGAAGGACGGAGCACTAACAGCTCCAGGTGATGACTAAGCTGCTGTTCATTGATTAGTAAAAGTGCTATGCAGGGAAGTTTGGAGAATTATTAGATTTTTGGATATGTAAAACCAGCCAAACAATTTAGGGAGACGTTGAGACGAGACATTTAGTGTTTAACTACCCTATCCATAAAATTTGATATTTTCACTTGAAACAACCCCTCTTTTCAAGAGCGCTAGAATGTATGTCATGTAGAAGACTCCAGAGCAGTGAGAAGTTCAGTGTATTAAAGTTTAAGGCTATATATCTCATAATTGATTATCCATGAGATTCTGATGGGGTGAAAAATAGGATTTGATCACATCATTGTTCTGTCTATTGCTTCCTGGTTTTGAGGGCTTTGTTTTGCATTGCTACTAGTGTCAATTCTATATATAGCTTATGTATAGTATGCACAATGTCTTGTTTTTAATACAAGGCTCATTCAGCAGTAGATTATTCCCTGTTTTGTATGAAAAGGGAATAATCAAGACACCATAAAACTTGAGCCACTGTTAGATAGCCTTCTCCTCGTTCCAGTGGGGTGCTACAGAGTCTGCCAGAGTTATCACTGGTGGTGTCAAAAAAGACACAAGTAAATATTAGAGTGAATTCAAGGAAGGTAGGGACATAAGTTTGTGGTCTGCTTGTTTCCTGCTCAGTGGTGTGTAAACTTGCAATAAAAACAGAACCTGTGTATGCTGTGTAAGTATAGATAGGATGCCTGTCACATCTGCTTTATTGATATTGTTAGGCTTGTGTGCATAGGCCATTGATGAATCTTTAATATTAATCTCACTTCTTAGTAAAATCTCATCTTTGCATTTCAGTAGTTGGTCTGATCTAATTTTGCTGCTACCTTTCTGAGAAATTGATTTTTCTCTGTTCTGTATCATTTGGCATGTGATTCTGAATTGCGTACTGTGCTAATTTGGTTTTCAGTGCTTCAACTGCTCATTAATAGACTTCTGACAACCAGTTTATTGCATTCTTATCAATAGTCTGGTCAATATATTGAGGCCAACTGCACTTTGTTCCAAAGTGACTACTTAAAAACAATTATGCGCCACGTGGAATTTTTTTACCTACTAAAATTTACTTGGAAATGAATTTTATGTTCATCAAATTAAGTTCTCATAAGGGTGCTTGGACTTTGTGCATATGAGAGACACACTGAACTGAAAATGTGTAAATCTGAGAAATTGAAAAGAAATTCCTATATTAATCTGAATTTGCTAATCCGTTCCAAAGTACATCTAAAAACAATACAGTGATTTATGCATTGGTAAATTTTCTTCCAAGAAACACTTTTAACTTTTTAACTTTGCGGAATGCTGAGATATTACATCAATGTTTACTTACTGTATAATTGTGCCCCTGCATGCAGAAGTGTATGCAGCATGCATCTGCAGAGTGGAAAGCCCATATTCCTGATTATTTCGATAAATGGGGATCACAAAAATAAGCAATCATAATATTCAAGTCTTGATTATTTTAAAAGCCTTTTTTAACTGGCAGCACCTAAAAGCAGAGAAGAGTGACTTTTCCAATAATACTCCTTTTTGAGGACAATATGGATTAAAGGATTTTTTGGAAACAGTCTAAGGAGAAAAATAAATGGCACACCAACTTTAGTAAATTATGCAGTACAGTGATTCTGCAGATTATTTCTTCACAGGAAGTGGAAATGTGTTTGGATGGGATTTAAAAGTTAGCTCTAATGAACTCTTCAAAAACCTGGTGCTGAGTTAAGGATACTAATTGCAGTGTTTCATGTTGCAGACCTGGCTTGCATGACTGACTTTGTGGGTTTTGACATATATATTTTTATAACTGATAAGATCCTTCTTATTTATTCTATCTTTGTGGTACCTTAAAGTTTTGTGGAGGTCAAGCAATCCTTAGTTCCTTAATTCTTATACCTCTATTTTTCACAGACTATTGTCTGATTTGGCGGATATACTTTCTTAATGCAGTAAATGCATGTACTTATGTCTGTTGACTGGAAACTGGAAATTGAGAATTGAATATCATAGATGTTGGTGTTATACAAGAGTGACCTACGTGTGACATGTTGTGAAAAGACTGTAGAAAACTGTGGGTTTTTTTCAATCAATTACCAACATGAAAGTTAAAGTACCAAGTGTTTGTTTTTTTTTTTTTTTTAAGTATATAAATGGACTTATACTTACATGAAGATCTTTTTTTTTTTTTTTCCTTTGTGTTCCCCTGTCTAAAATAACAAGAGAAAGAAATTAGTAAGAGGCTGCGTATGAGAAACCTCTCTTAATTAACATCAAAAGAGAACAGTAAGGTGGTTGTAAGAATGCAGATGGAAAGACCTTCGGTTTAGTTCAGTTTTTTACAGGGTGTTGGCAACTTTAAGCTGATAGTGGCTAAAATATTTTCAATTTTGAGTAGTATAATGTTTGTTTGGCATTGTACCATCATTCTGACAATAAGGAATGTGCTTTTCAGTATGTTATCTGGTAAAAGGAATGTGTTCTACTGTCAGAATCAGTGACATGTATTTACTTTGTGGGACACTGTAGAAAATACACCAGCAAATCAGCTACTGATACAGTGAACTAAATGACACATTCCTGAATCATTAAGCCCACTTCAGTTATAAGATTTTCCTTTTTTTCTTTTCAGTGACTAACAAGAAACCAGCTCAAGCATCTATTACAAAGGTGAAGCAATTTGAAGGCTCTACATCTTTTGTCAGGAGAACGCAATGGATGCTCGAGCAGCTTCGACAGGTCAATGGGATAGACCCTAATCGGGTGAGTTTGAACAGTTCTGGAAAATGATAATTGAGCTTTTTTATAAATAATTTGTGGATTGGGCATTCTTTCATTATTCAGAGGGCATCTGGAAAAATAAGATGCAGGTTTAAGTGCAAATTCTCAAGAGAACTCAATGGAATACATGAAATAGGTTTTAATGGGAAAGACAGGAGGAATCCAAAGCTTATAATCATACGGTGTTTTTTCTTCCTGTCTTTCCCTACCTTTTTTTCCCCTCTCTTTCTGCTTTGTGAAGAGAAAAAAATAAGTCTTGTTTGCCTTGTCTTCAGCTGTAAGCCTCTTGGGGTCCATTTTGGCATGCAGCTGTGCTGTAAGATAAGGCAGTAAGTAGAAGCAAGGACAGGAGAGGTTGCTGAGGTTCAAGTTTGTGAAATATTGTGAAACTTGTGGGTTTTTTTCTCCCATGAAATAGTTCTGGAATTCCTTTAATGTGGAATATTCAGCCCACCTTGAGCTGTTTCAAGACAAAGTTGTACTAACATGTATTATGTTTATGAATACAAGTCTTCGGTAGTAAAAGAGCAGAACTGGAAGTTAGGAATGTGCCTCATACCATGGGATCACAACATGACTTGCTGTGTTCATTGCACAGCAAAGCATGTTTGTGACTCACCCCCTTGGTCTGTTTAAAGCTGTGCTCTGATCAGCCCCCTGAGCACCTTAGCAATGGTGCACCAAGTTCTGTTGCTACCCAGTACAGTCTTTTGTACACAAAAGAAGCCCTTTGACCGCTGCCCTATGAAATGCAAGGGGTGGAATAATATTGATTTGCATGACCTTTCTCTTATTTCCAACGTAATGCCTTTAAAAAATAATAGCTCTAAATCTTTCTCCAAATAATTTACAAAACTGGAAATAATAGTAGTGTGTTTTTTGTCTTCTAGGATTCTCCAGAATTTGATCTACTATTTGAAAACGCTTTTGACCAATGGGTAGCAAGTACAGCTTCAGAAAAATGCACCTTCTTTCAGGTTCTACATCACACTTGTCAGCGATATCTTACAGACAAGAAGCCAGAATTTATCAACTGCCAGTCTAAAATTATGGGAGGTAAGTCAGTCGCAGCTGGAGTACTTTGTGCAGTTGGACATTAAATGATTTGCACATGAGGTATTCTGTGTTCAAATGAACTTGCAGCCTAATGACATCTGGAAATCATGGGTCTGAATATGCTAACTTCACAGTAGTAGACTTCTAGACTTCAGCCTTTCTCCATCAAGCACCACTTCACATTCTTCTGCTGCCTCTGCTTCCCTAGTCTTTGGTTCTAGAGGCAACATCCCCTGCCCACCTTGTGAGAGGTCATTCTCCTCCCTCTTTTTAGCAACCTTGATTTCAATTTGTCTCTGCTTTTGTTAATCCAGAAACATTTCTGGATGGCCTGAAACCTTTCACACTAAAAGCCTGTTCTGCATTGCCATTTCCTCACAAGTCTGTCAGAAAGTGGTTACTACTAAACTTCACTCATGGATGTTTCGGAATTTACTTTGATCTTGACAGAAATCGGTTAGTTTAGAGTTTTGTTGTATTTCATAAATCATATGTCTTAAGGAGAATTTGCAGGATTAGACTAAAAAACATCTGGTTAAATAAAGAAAGTCTGGTCTGGATGTATGAAAGTGGTATTTGCCATCCACATCCCAAGCAACAAAAGCTATTTTGGGGGGAGAATTTTCACGTGTTTCACAAAGTATTCTTTAGGAAAATAAACCAGTTTAGTTGTTCCCTTAGACTGAAATTTCTGAAAATAGTCTCCTTTTTGTCTGCTCTAAAACAGAACGCTTTCAAAAACGCTTACATCTCCCATGTTTCACAGCTCAAATAAATAAGTTTTTTCGCTTTCTCAACAAGTCTCTTAATGGTTCATGTTTCCAAACTGTAAAAGAGAAGTGTGGGCTGGCTTGGGGTTTTGTTTAGTTGCTGTTTCTTCCCCTCAGTAGACATCAATTATAAATACGGAGAGCCTTACTCAGTTCTCTCTGGTAATTCTCCCCTCCCATAAATCTAGAATATATTCCTGTACACTACTGTCAGAACTATATTTTGTGCAGCCACCTTTATGTGCTTTTTTCTGGCTGTTATTTTGTCTTGCATCCCTTTTCTCTAAAGCACCAAAGGTAAACTTGAGGAAAAGGGACGTCATCTCCAGCTTGGTGTTTACACTTTAGCTACTGACACTGGGGTTACCACTAATTTTGCTGTCATAAGTCAGAACTATTCCGTCAATCATCCTTTTCTTTTAGTGTCTTCTCAGTCTAAGCAAAAAGGCACAAAACTTTCTTGTAAACTTCCTCTCTCGTTTTTTCCCCTTCGACATTAATAGGATTTCCTTTGTTTTCTTTTTGGTGTGGTGGGGAGGAGGGAGGAGCAGTTTCTGCACTGATGGTAGAAGATATCCTCTACAATTTTTCCATCTCATATGGAAGAAGTCTCCTATCAAGACTTTCTTTATCGTCTGTTTGGTAATGGTGCTCACTTCCGTCCTTCCTGCTGATAAATCAGTGTTAATAAACCACCACACATTACACATATTATTTTATTCTCATAAGCTTGGGCTGTCTGAGTTCTTGATTCAACTGACCCAAATATTAAACTTTATCTTAAACAAGTGTCATCACAATGGAGGAAAAAAGAGTTGCCACTGAGATTCATAAAACTCTGACTTTTTATGCACACACTAGACCCACTGTGTCCCATGAGCATACCTCCTTTATCACAACTTCATAGCTAAAATAGGCTTTTTCAGCCATTTTCTCATACCAGATGGTGACTGTTTCCATTTTCTTTGCCTGCCATTCTGACTGTGCACAGACAGGTTCTGTGTGTGTGTGTACACACAGTACAGACTGTGGAAGCGTTGCAGGACCAAGGATAATAAATCTCCTCTTGGATGCAGTAATTCTGTTGTTCTTCATACTGTCAACTTTTTTTCTCACAGTAGGTTACAGTTTCCCTATAATTATAATAATAATTATAAGCCTTATTGGTGTGCTCATGCATACAGATAGATTCTTATTCAGTTTCAAAAGTATCATTTTAGCACCCATGCAGATACTTCTTGAAAATATAATTATTTAAGAAAATAGATGAACTTAGCTTTCCAAACTAATTTATTTTTTAAAGTGTGGAAAAATTCTTAGGTTTGCTACATTGTTCAGCATTTTTACTAATGTTCTAGTATACCTGAGGAATATATTTCACTTTTCTTTTCATCATCTTCAAAAGCTTTTGCTTTACTTTATATTTAAGTGTATTATGATGTATTGATCTCGTGAAGACATGCTTCCTCCACTGATTTTTAAAAAAAAAAAAAAAAATTATCATAGCAACTTTGATATATCTCCTAATTAAAGGCAGGCCTCCTTAGTAACACATAATACTGTAAATTAGTTCAGTCACTGGGTTATGTTAGTTGGTCTGTTACTCTGAGGCAAATGGAGTAATTGCTAAGTGACCAGAAGCAGCACATTCATTGACTTCAGAAGCTTTTCTGTGAGTTGGTAGTTGAGTGGCTCAGATGCTGGGGAAATACCTGCGGTCCTCATTAGAAGCCCAGGGATGCGCCAACTGCGTATCAAAACCCACCTAATCTGAAACCTACAGTATCAGAAGTTTTTCGTGGAAAATACAGTGAAATTATTGTCAATCTCAGATTCATCCTGGCTGGAAAAAGTGAGGTCCAAATGTAGCCAAGCAAACCAAAAAGCAAATAGCTGAGCGTATATCTTGAAATTAATTAAATTCAGTTTAGAATTTGCAACTTGGAATTCTTTTGTTGTTGGTTTGTTGGTTTTGTACTTTCTTTTGTTGTTTGTTTTTTTTTTTTTTTTTTTACTTTTGTAAATTAGCCAAAGGAATATATTCAAATAATTCTTAAACCTTAGTGCAATCAGACTGTGGATGAAGCATGTCACTTCATCCCCTCTACCAAGATGGCCTTTGGGGTTTAGGTTACATTCTTTAGAACTGTTGGGGGGTTGTGTAATGTTGTGTTATTTTTGAATGGTTAGTCAGTTTAACTTCTAATACCCTACAACTGGTTTTCTTAATAAACTATTACAATTACACACATAGATGTATATTCTTATGTATGTAATGATACAGATATGCACATTGTATATGTAATGTGTGTCTTGTAACTAAAGCATATTTTCAAAAACAACAAAAAAAAGCTACCAAAGAACACTTCCTCCCAAGCGGAACTGAAGATGAAAGAAGTTGAAGGGCTTGTTTACAAGCTTGCCTCTCTTATTAAGACTTATTCCTTCCTAAAGGATAGGAATGAAGAAAGTGAAATTCACACTGTGTCTGTTTCTGCAGGAAGTGCTTGAGAGCCCGTAGCTGTAAGTAAATCCGGGTGTTCCTGTGGAGCTGCAGACCCTCTTCAGTGCCTTCCTCCTTTTACCTCCTCACGCACACACACTTCCCCCTGCGGGCCAGAGCCCTGATTCTTCTTCTCCAGAACCATTTTTTGCTTTATTTTCATTTGAGTATCGTGTAAGGATATAGTCTGCAGAGCTAAATAGGCTAGACTGTTTTCTGTAACTTGATTCATGACATTAGTAATTACAGCAATAATGAGAACAGATTAAAGGTGTGGGTGCTAATTCTGAGAACAAAGAGCAAATTCAGATTTGGGAAGACTGTAACAAGATTCTTCCCACTAGTGTCTTGTACTAAATATTACAAGTTTGTCTTTTGTTTAGCAGAGCTCTCTCCATAGCTTACATGCATTCTGGACGTTATTATGGGAGAGGAAAGGAAAGGCAGGCATTTGAGGGTAGAGGGCTTTTTTTGACTGAAGTAGGAAATACTTTCCACTTTTGTCTTTCTAGCATGCAGATTCTCATACTGGAACATGTCTAATTTGCAGTATCTTTGTGTTATGTTAATTGCTATTCAGTGGCCAAGGTAATCAAGATTGTATTGCTTTTACATCAGTAATGTAAGAAACAAAGCTGGAGGTGGGTGCTGTGCAGAAATGGTCATTTATAGGTTGTTTTTGTTAAAAACAACTTAATTCTTGACACAACGTTAGGCTGACACTGAGGGTGAATTTGACTGGCATTTCTGGATAGAGCCCTGTGATACAGCATTCAAAGCTTGTCAAAGATTAATTTTGGGCCTATAAGAATAAACAGTTGCTGCCACCTTTAGATAAGTATTAGAAATGCATAATCCTTGAAAGGAGCCAGACCTCAGGTTGAAGGAAGGTGGTGATTTTGTGATTTTTATTTGGGTTTGTTTTAAGTTTTGTCCTACCTGTGTGCTTTGCTTTTAACAGCCATTCTGCTAAATTAACTAAAATACTCTTAGAAGCCCAGAGTAATATCATCTTTGCCTCTGTAACCTTTTCTCTGTGACAGTTGGCAGGAGTTATTAATGGACCATTCTTTTTCTCCTACAAGAATATATTGCCAATGTGATACTGGTAATGAGTATTTCTTTTTTCACGAGCTATTGACTCAGCTTACCACATTTGAGACCTGGTAAGCTTATAGTGGTGTTTACCACGCTGTGCAAGATTAATGACTGACTAAAGGAGATGAATGAAAAGATTAATTCTGCTTTACCATTTTTTTTATTTAACTGGATGGATTTTCATTATCTTAAGCATAAAAGCCATGTGTTGAGATCAGAATGGATAAGAATAGTTGAGTGCTTGTTCCATAGAAATATTGCATATAATCAGAGCTCTAAATTAACTTTCTAAAATGGGTATCTTGGGCAAAAAAAGTACATTATGTTCTTGTAAAATCTGTAGGGGTACATAAAATGAGAAGGGACATTTATCATTTTAAAGGTTGGTTAATTTTGATCTGTATAACTGAGATGACATAATATAGAAAACATTAAGCAATATATTTTCTTGCCTTTTCTGAAGAATGAGGATTTATGTGAGGTGTTATCTTCAAGATGCAGAATATTACTGTTTGGCATACAAATGGGAATATTTTTTTTTTGTGTCAAATTATCAGATTTTAGTGTTTACAGAGCTAGAATGGAGTTTTGTGCTTTTGTAGTAATTACAATTGTTTTTGTGAAACAAA